CTGCCAATGACATCATGGCATTTCGGTGGCATGACAAACGTGATGTCACATTGTTGACATCAGTTCACCCAAACAAAATGGCACACAGTGGCAGGCACAACAGAGAGACCAATGAACCCATTCTAAAGCCTGCAGCTGTCATGGACTACAACCTCAATATGCGCTTAGTGGACAAATGTGACATGCAGATTGGGTTTGCAGATTGTGTACGCAAGAGTTATAAGTGGTATATAAAACTTTTTTTCCATCTTGTTGATATCTCCATGCTAAATGCTTATAACATATACAAGTTGAAGACCAACAAAACATCAAAATATGGTGAATTTTGTTTGTCAGTAATCAGACAAATAATCGTCAAGTACCAAGGAGCAACACCTGCAATAGACCAGCGCCCACGAAATTACCAACACATGCCATCTCGTTTCAGGCCTGGTGATCATTACCCCATACAACTGCCTCCTACTACTGCCAAGAAAAATGCTCAGAAGAGGTGTTATGTATGTACACATACCACAAAACACCCGCAAACATGCAGACACTCGTTTTATGTGTGAGGAGTGTCAAGTGCCACTCTGCATATACCCATGTTTCAAAGAGTTCCAGAAGCTGCAGCAGTTCTAAGAATGTGTTCAGTGACTGTACATATGTATATATATTATGGAACAATAGTAATAAACATTGTTTTGTGTTGTTTGTTTGCGTAAACAAAGTGTATACACAAACTAATAGTGATAAAGTTTGATCAGTTATTGTGTTGTAAACAATGAGTGAATATTTGAACAATGCACCTTACTGTGGTCTCACAGGCCACATAAGTTACTTGGAAAAGAAAAATATTGAAAAATGCAAGAAACTTTTGAATTAGAGTAAATAAAAGAATACCGGGTGGGCAGCAGTCGTCGCTGTTGCCGTACGCACCTCACTTTCTGCAAACTTTGCGGCTCTATATCTCGGTAAGTACTGATGGCAAAAAAATTTTTTAGGCTTAAAACACTCAGAAAAATATTCCTAACATTTTCATAAGAAATTTTTTTTTTTTTTTTTTGAATATTTTGCGACATAGAATGACAGTTTCAGAAAGGGGCCTGCGACAGTCAAAGGGTTAAAAAAGAAAAATATTGGAAAATACAAGAAACCTTTGAATTGGAGTAAATAAAAGAATACCGGGTGGGCGGCATTCACTGCTGTTGCCATATGCCGTTCATTTTCTGCCAACGTTGCGCCTCTATATCTCGGTAAGTACTGATGGCAAAAAAATTTTTTAGGCTTAAAACACTCAGTAAAATAATCCTAACATTTTGGTAAGAAAAAATAATTTTTTTTTTCGAATATTTTGTGACATAGAATGACAGTTTCAGAAAGGGGCCTGTGACAGTCAAAGGGTTAAGAGGAAAGTGATGTTGACCCCGAGTTTAGTGGCTTTGAGGAGGATGTGGCCACAAGTGGTTGCAAAAATATAAAAAAAACCTCGATAATAATCCATGTGCAACTCCCTTCAATTTTGGTACCACTGGTAGTGTCATCCAAGTAAAACGAAAATTGTGGAATGTGTAATACATGTTCGGCAGGCTGGCTGGCTGATTGGCTGTCTCTATCTCTGTCTGTATCTGTCTCTATCTCACAGGTATGCATATGTAAATACAATTATACATAGCGTAAATTACCTAGGATAACCCAAAAATTCCAGACAAAGTGCTATACTGTGCTTGTAGACATAATGCATAATAAGTATGACAAGCAACTGGCAAGTAATACGCATTTTCGCTTGTTCAGGAATCAGTCGTGATTATGTATAATAACAGATGGATCATGAGCAATTCTCTGAGACAGGAGAGACAAGCAGACAGAATGACAGAGATACACAGGTAGACAAAGTCAGACAGAAAGACAGACACACAGAGGCAGACAGAAAGGCAAACACACAAAGGAAGGCAGAAAGACACAAACACACAGGCAGACATAAAGACACACACACACACACAGGCAGACAGAAAGACAGGCACACAGGCAGACAGAAAGACAGACACACACAGGCAGACAGAAAGACACACAAAGGAAGGCAGAAAGACAGACAGACACAGGCAGACAGAAAGACAAATAAACAGACATAGCTACACAGACAGACATGTTTATGTATAACAATGAAAACAAATAAAGCCAGGGTTCAATGCAGCAGTGCACGGTCATCGTGTCACTCCACTGCCTACCCTGTCAGCAGTTTAGTAACACTTATCTTAACACCATGCTTCTAAGAGTTTTATATATACTCCAGCACATCTAAAACATTGCTGGGACCTATAAATACTTTGTATATATTCCTGGACAATAGTAAATGACCTAGGCAGGTGTAAATGTTGACCTGTCAGTGTGTTTGTGACAATTTGAGTACAATTTCAGTACCTAATATTAGTATCAGAACAAAGATTGGCTATGAAATAACAAGAACTACTATAAATTGTAATTATCAGAACATAAAAATTACAGTGGACCCCCGGTTAACGATATTTTTTCACTCCAGAAGTATGTTCAGGTGCCAGTACTGACTGAATTTTTTCCCATAAGAAATATTGTGAAGTAGATTAGTCCATTTCAGACCCCCAAACATACACGTACAAATGCACTTACATAAATACACTTACATAATTGGTCGCATTCGGAGGTAATCGTTATGCGGGGGTCCATTGTATATAAAATATTATAAAAACAGGAAGAAAGGTACATCGGCAACACTTCTGCAAGCGGCAGGACTCCATGTTGTTGTCAGGTGAGCATCCATCACCAACTTCGCAATCTTATATCTCAGTAAGTACTGGTCCTAAATTTTTTTTTTTTTTTGGTCTTATTACACACAGAAAATAGCCCCTTTTAATTAAAAAAAAAAAATATATCGGAGCGCTGGACAAGCGAATGTAAATCTACATTTGGACAGTTAACCTGTTAATATATGTTAGTGTAAACTCATTATCTGGGATTTATATGCATTTATAAGTGGAAAAAAAGGGAAAATCGCTTTACAGTGATTTCCGCTTTATGGCGGTAGTCTGGAACCTAACCTGCCATATAAGTGGGGCCCTACTGTATTCACACCAGCTTTGTACTAAATACTAACAATAACACTGCACATCATATGCCGCCTCACTAGAGATCCTATGAATACCAACAATGGGGTCATATCACTAAAAGATGCATCTTCAAAGATGCATCTGTTAGTGATACGACCCCATTGTGTAGTGTGTGCTAATTTCCATTTACTGAAGCAATATGATGACATCAGAAGCAGAAAAGCTAGTCTCTGAAAAAATACATTAACTGACGCTCCAGGTGTATGACCATTAAACCCTCAGTGTTTAACCTATTCTGGTCCCTCCAACCCAGTCAACCAATGGACCTGAGACCAGTCAAGACACCCAACATCCCTCTTTCCAGCCCTTATAGAGTGTATAATTACTCTTCATATTACAAATATTGAAGACTTATATTACTGTAATCAATCTTTCCACTCAACAATTTTGTGGTTGAATCTATTACTCTTGTAAGCAATTTATTACTACCATAATCTCGTTACCAAACAATGTTGGGGCCCAGTACTAGTCGGTGTCTTTGTAATCTTTTGACAACTACCCTAGAATTGTACTACATGGAATGCAAGAGAAATACACATCATACTTCACACATGAAAAATTCTGGAAGGACTAGTCTCAAACTTGCTCACCAAAATTACTTTCTACGGGAGCAAGAGACTTAGAAGATGGTGCAAAATACCCTAACGAAAAGCAGGGGTGCAATGGGTACACCAAGAGATAACTCACTTAGTGTAAAAGGTTCAAGAGTTTTCAACACCTTCCCTTCATAAATGGAATTAGCAACACTCCTTGCTGCCTTCAGAAGGAAACTTGTTAAGTTCCTAAAGTTAATTCCTGATCAACTGGACTATGGTGCCTACATCAGACTGGGTGCTGCTAGCTCCAACAGTCTGATTAATCAGGCCTTCTCAACCAGGCAGCCTGGTCTAGGACCAGGCCATAGAAGCAACGATCCCTGAAATTGTGCTCCAAATATTTCATATGCTCACACAGCATTCTTCCTAGCTATAAGCAGATGCATATAATTCAAATAGTCCAGTAAAGACTGATTACTTTTATTATTATTATAATATTCACAGGGAAGTGCTAAACCTATGGGTGTCATAGTGTCTGAGAAATGTGAGGTAATCAAGTTTGATCCAAGGACAGGGATGGTAGTGCTAATTCCTTCAATTAAGAGTTCTCTCCAGCACCAATGCACCCCTCTTGAAGGGAGTAAAGACTGAGATACTGTACTTACAAACAGCCAGGAGAGTCAAGCTTGCTAGACAGAATTTAATGTCATTTCAAACTTTCTTTTAGCATTAAATCCTTACTTTTAATCTCCATAAATTATGTTCAAAGCACACACATAAAATGTAATCCTGTACTTTTGCTTTGGTAAATCACTAACCTGCTCTACATATAGATACTATGTAATGTTCTCTTACATGCATTCACTGCATGTCTCCAATATCTTAATTACATGAATTAAATTAATTCCTTCTTTAGCAATAGACACGAAAGCTTTCTATGATTATTTCTGATGCTTATTTCTTACCATTACTGTAGAGTGCTTAATCAAAATTTTTGTTCAATTATCTTTTATGCTCACTAAACACTAACCTTTCCTACAACCTGTGCCTTGTATTTTGTTCTCACTCTTTCCATACCATCTCTCTCTTTCTCTAAAAGAAAGTACTTGTAGTTTTTTCCCTGCCAATGAAAGCCTAAAGTCAAAATTCTTCAATATAATCATTAACAGATTTCAAAAAACAGTATTGCAGGTTCTTTCTCAATGAAAAAATTGAAGTAAATTTTACTTTATCTTCAATTCTCAACTTTAAATTTGTTAATTTTGATATAAAAAAATAAAATCTAATGTCCATAAAGTATACATTTGTCTATAGAAAATGTAAGTTACATTTCTGCACTCACCTGTTTAGTTAATATGATATTGTCTCTGCGTGCAGCACTGTACTGCTTGTGAACACCGACACTCTCCTCTAAGGAACTGTCTTTACTAGACTCTGAGTCTGCTGCACGTTTCTCTGAAAATTATTGAAATGGCAGCTGATTATAACATTCATTTTTTTAAAACACTTCGGCCATCTCCCACCGAGGCAGGGTGACCCAAAAAGAAAGAGAAAACTTTCATCATTCAACATTTTCACCATCACTCATACATAATCAATGTCTTTGCAGAGGCGCTTAGATACGACAGTCTAGATGTCCCTCCAAACTGCCAATATCCCAAACCCCTGGAAATATAAACACACATGCAGTATAATGTGATCCTTTATTGACAACGTTTCGCCCACACAGTGGGCTTTTTCAAGTCACAAACAGATCTACCTGGGGTGGAAGGTACGCGAGTATTTATAGTCAGGTTCAGAATGCTGAGGTCAGGTGGAGAATGCTGCATGTGATGATCTACCAAGTGGGGTTATAGAGTCTAAAATCTTCGGTAGCTTGGAAGGGAGATTGGATAAGTATGTGAGCAGACCTTTTGCAGTGTACCTCCATTCCTATGTTCTTGTGTGGGATAGCGATGAAGTTTCTTGGCAAGTGGTTCAGCTATGTTATAGAAGTCATTGTTCTGGCTGAAGTTGTTGGATAGAGATAAGTGATGATTCCAGGATTCTTCGGTATTGAGTCCTGTCTTCTCTGGCGATAAGTCTTGAGTGTCTGTAGTTGATTAAATGGTTGTGTGAATTGCAATGTTGTACACAGGCATTCCTTGGATCGTCAGACCTGCTTGCATACTGGTGTTCTGAAATACATGTTTGGAGGTCTCTTGATGTTTCGCCAACGTATAATTTGCTTCAGTCATTACAAGGGATTATGTATACCCCTGCAGAGGATGGAAGCTTGTCCTGTCTATTACTGGTAATGCCCTTGATGGTCGTGGAGGTAGATACCTGGAACGAGGTATTGGAAAAGATGTTGGAAACGTGTTTGGCAATGGAGTTGGTGGGGAGGACTATGTATCTCTTCTCGGCGGTATCTTCCCTGGATGTGTTGAAGATGTTTAATGCCCGTCGTCTGCAGTCTCTGATGAAGTGACGAGGATAGTGAAGTTTGGAAAATACGTGTTCAATTATAGTGCATTCTTCCTCAAGGAACTCATTGCTGCAGATTTTGAATGTGAGCAGGAAAAAGCCTATAATTACACCATGTTTAGTGCCGTGGTGAGAGTAGAAGTTCATGGTCAGCTTCGCAGAGAAGAACATCAAGGAAAGGAGGAGTGTTGTCGGCTTCTTCTTTAAGTGTGAACTGGACTGAGGGCTCGACCTGGTTGAGCTTGTCTTGGAGAGCTTGAACGTTGAAGCGTCTGGGAGTTATGAGGAGAATGTCAACATATACCATTTACAGGTACCATCTGACTTACGACCGAGTTCGGTTCTGACAAACCAGTCGTAAGTCAAAATGGATGCAAGTCGAACCTTACTACTGAATATCAACATCACATTTTTGTAATGACTTTATTTCATTGTTTTATTTTGGTATTTCATTTTTGACTTTACTTTTTCTGCTGTTAGTACTTTATTTTATACTGTAAGGTTTAGGATAAACACTGTGTACAACACAAAGAGTTGTTTATTTCCCAGAAATTTGGCATAGAAAACACGGTCGTAATTCGAATGGTCGTATGTTGAGCAGGCCGTAAGTCGGATGGTAGATGAATTTCCATCCCAAACCCCTCCTTTAAAGTGCAGGCATTGTACTTCCCATTTCCAGGACTCAAGTCTGGCTAACCAGTTTCCCTGAATACCTTCACAAAATATTACCCTTTTCATGCTCCAACAGCTCGTCAGATCCCAAAAACCATTCGTCTCCATTCACTCCTAACATGTTCATGCACACTTACTGGAAGTCCAAGCCCCTTGCCCACAAAACCTCCTTTACCCCCTCCCTCCAACCTTTTCGGGGATGACCCCTACCCCATCTTCCTTTCCCTACAAATTTATACGCTCTAAGTCATTCTACTTTGTTCCATTCTCTCTAAATGACCCAACCACCTCAACAGCCCCTCTGTTAAAATTAAGTCGTTAGTCAGAATGAATACACACTGTAAGGGTTAAAGAATAGTCTAAGGAAACAAATTTTGATACCAACTCAATGTCCTCCAGAGTCCATGTGCTCAATTCACTGAACCTCTTGAAAGATAAAACTGAGTATGTTACTCAGTGTAACTCAGAACTTTGTAAGCACTAAAAAAATTTTCCTATAATGTATCGAAGTGTACACTGCATATATTGTTTTCACTGGCTGATGAAAATTCTAAAGGAGTATTTCTGGCTTGCATATGAGAAATCAGATCTTATAAAATATTTTTCTTAAAATTCTAAATCAACTTACTCATGCAGACTGACAGTATTGATATTTACACTCAGAGAAAGCATCCTTTAGCTTACTGATATCGACCTTCTAATTCTGCTCATAAAAATTACTATTATATAACTAGATAATGGAAATGGGAAGTACAATGCCTGCACTTTAAAGGAGGGGTTTGGGATATTGGCAGTTTGGAGGGATATGTTGTGTATCTTCATACATATGTTTCTAAACTGTTGTGCTCTGGGCACCTCTGCAAAAATAGTGATTATGTATGAGTGAGGTGAAAGTGTTGAATGATGATGAAAGTATTTTCTTTTTGGGGATTTTCTTTCTTTTTGGGCCACCTTGCCTCGGAGGGAGACAGCCAACTTGTTAAAAAAAAAAAAAAACTAGAAAAGGTAATAGGTTGGTAGACAGCAACCATTCGGAGAGGTACTACCATCCTACCAAGTGAGTGTAAAAAGGAAGCCTGTGTTTGTTTTACATCATGGTAGGATTGTTGGTATCCTTTTTTCTGTCTCGTAAACACGCAAAATTCCAGGTACGTCTTGCTACTTCTACTTACACTTAGGTCACACTACACATACATGTACAAGCATACACACACCCCTCTGGGTTTTCTGCTATTTTCTTTCTAGCTCTTGTTCTTGTTTATTTTCTCTTATCTCCATGGGGAAGTGGAACAGAATTCTTCCTCCGTAAGCCATGCGCGTCCTTAAGAGGCGACTAAAATGCCGGGAGCAAGGGGCTAGTAACCCCTTCTCCTGTATATTGTGTATTTTTATACGTATATATTTCTAAACTGTTGTATTCTGGGCACCTCTGCAAAAACAGTGATTATGTGTGAATGAGGTGAAAGTGTTGAATGATGATGAAAGTATTTTCTTTTTGGGGATTTTCTTTCTTTTTTGGGTCACCCTGCCTCGGTGGGAGACGGCCGGTGTGTTGAAGGAAAAGAAAGTCTCATAAACATGCAAGATTTCAGTTAAGTCCTGCTACTTCTACTTACACTTAGGTCACACTACACACACACAACACACACACACACAACGTCCAGACTCACAAATACACTCCCCCCCTTCCCACCGACATCTCACTCCTTCCCCTGATCCCTCCCCCTCCCCACCTCTCCCTCCTTCCCCCTCTCCCTCCCCACTCCTCTCCCACATAGCCACAGTTCCTCCTCTACCTCCCCCCCCACACTCTGACACACACACTACTAACCTAACACACAGAATTACATAGGTTTCCCACTCTGAGGCAATCAGGATAAAACAAAAATGGGTTGCCAGAGAGCAACAAGAAAAACCAGGGGACAGGAGGAGGAAGCTGCAAAGGAAGATTGGGCAGCAGAGCTCATAAAAAGGGAACATGAATGGGAAAAGAAACTAGAAGAACTTAGCATGAGAATGGAAGAGAGGATAGATATGGAAAGCAGAAAGTGGGAGGAGCAAGTCAAAGCAGCAGAGGCCAGGATACAGAGTTTAGAAGAGGAACTGAAAAATCTGAAACAGCCTAAAGAACTAAAGAACATTTTGGGATTGACAACAGAGACTGCTACCTCAGTCACAAATAAGGGGACTGTAGGGAAAGAAGGAGCAAAACTGCATGTAGAAGCTCTATCAGTGGAGACTGTAGTAAACGAAAGAGTTAAGCTATATGTGGAGGCCCTAACAGACCACAGCAGAGCCCAAGGAAAGTTGAGAAGGGAAAATGACAGGCCACTGAGCCCAAGTACATCAGCTAGTGAAACTGAAGAAAGGAAAGCTGCAATGGAGGAAATCAAATTGAATGAGGGGATACAAAGGGATATGCAGTGGGAGAATGAAAGGGAGAGGTCAGTCTTTGTGTATGGGCTCCAGGAAGTTGAAGGGGAAACATATGAAGCAAGAAAACAAGGGGAAAAAAAAGCAATTGAAAGCATCATGAAAGCAATAGGAGAAGACGACATGACCCAGCTGGAAAATTTTCGGAGAATAGGGGGGTTTGTAAAAAAAAGAACCCGGCCAGTGAAAGTGACCTTCAAGGCAGAATCGACTCGGAACAGGATCCTGCAGGAGAAAGCACGATTAAGGGACATGCCGGCATACAGGAAGGTGTATCTCGACCATGACAGAACACAAGAAGAAAGGCAGAAACTGAGAGAGATGGTACAAAGGTGAAAGGAGGAAAGAGAGGGGATGGAGAAGACAGACAGGAGATCCCAGACACAGGAAGATCAAATACAGCCTCCCTCACAACTTCCTATAGAAGCCTCCCAACCAGGTCAACCCCAGTGCAACCAAATACTCTAAACCAAAACACCCATGCCACATCCAATGGCCCCACCCATTGCATTACAAACTCTACCCCCACAGCAACCACCCATAGTTCCTTATCAGGTCTCCCACTTCCCCAACCCCAATACACCTCCCAGACCACAGTCTTAGAAAAGAAGTTGAAGGTGTGGTATACAAATGCAGATGGAATAACAAATAAGTATGAGGAGTGGCGCGAAAGAATCAAGGAGACATCCCCAGACATAATAGCACTCACAGAAACAAAACTCACCAGAATAATAACAGATTCAATCTTTCCATCTGGATATCAAATCCTCAGGAAAGACAGAGGGAGGAGAGGGAAAGGAGGAGTTGCACTGCTCATTAACCCCTTGACTGTCACAACCCCCAATCCTGAGGTGTCTCCTGGTGTCTCCAAAAAAAAAAAAAAA